CCTGTATTATACGCTGTATTTTTTCCCCTGTATTATAAGCATATACATATGCTTATAATCAAAATAATTCTTTAAATAAGTAATAGATTTGCAATGAGGAAATATTTATGAAAAGTTACAAATTAATCTGTTATTTGTGTGTTTTTTGTCAACTTAAAATTTGGTGGAGATCTTGCCAAACTTGTATTGACAAATTTGATGGAAGTTTGAAGGACCATATTGATCTTTATTTAATTAGAAAATCAATAGGTACAACTTACAGATACAGCAAAAAGAAACTTCGATAAAAGCTTTGAGATAATTTGGAAACAGATTAATTAAAACTAGTATTAATAATCTGAGCAGCTAAACTTTCCTTAATGGCATTTAAAAAAAGCAGTGAATTTCTCAGCTTCTTTGTGAACTTGGCAAATATATAAGTTTTTTTAAATACAAGTATATATGATGTTCTACTGAGTGCTTTATTCCACCATTTTGTGAACTGTAAATTCATTCAATGTTTTGCATGTGTACAGTAGTACAACTAATCTCATAACTTTGTAAATATTCCACTGCCTCTAGCTTTTTGTAGAAGATTGGTCCCCCTTTTTTTTATTGCAAGAGTAGAACAGAAATTAAAATAAAATTTCAACCTTCTCTTTAAAAGCTGAACAGGCTTAGTGAGTATCATTGTTGCATGAAACCTGAGTGAACGAGTGTGTTGTGATGTAATGCTTATCCATTATTTGCACTAAACTGGACTATTTGGTGACAGTGTTTATTTGTTGAAAATGGACAAAGGGAAAATATGTAAATTAGAAGGTATATAAACATCAACATTTTTCATTCGCTAATAGCATTCAATACATTTTACTAAATCATATGAAAAAATCTGATGTGTACACCATATGACTTCCTTGTAAGGAATATTAAATTTATGCATTTTTTCATGCATTTCATTTAAACTTATTAGATTGAATTAAATCTACTTTGTCGATATCGCATAAACCACAGTAGAATAATCCACTCTTTAAAATTCACTATATTTGTTTACCATAGTGACACCCTGACGCTATGCTAAGTTCCCTTAACAGTGTTACATTTCATTCATTATATAACTTATAACATATTGCCGAAACTATTACACAAAAGTGTAATTTTGCTGGCTCAGTGAGAATAAAGCCTAAAACGTGCATGACGATAAGAGTTTACTGGCATGGTAATTGATCTTATAACTCAGAATGCGCAAAATTTATATCATGTAAAGAATTATGTAACCGTTGCCGCATGTTCTAGTCAAATATTATAATAAATCTAAAACAATGTATAAAAGAAATTGAACAAACAAAAAAAAAAAAGAGAGAGAGAAAGAAACAGTTTTTTCACAGACAATTCAGTATTTCTCATTCAATTAATTCAGTTCTCACTTCGCGAGAAGGCAAAAATACATAAAAACTCAAAATCTATATTAAAAATTATGACCAAATCTTAACACTTATTTTCTTGAAAAAATTCCAAAAAGGATTAAGTATGATTTAATTCGCAATAATAAATGAAGGTGTTATCTTTGTTGTTACGAAGCTTAGTCTCTCTAGATTAGCAACAAATCTACTAATCTGCTGCTTCAAATGTAAACCAACATGTCCACCATGTTATTTAAAAATTAGGCTTAACCGCACTTTAACAGCTTTTAAATGGTTGATTAATTCTACAAATATTGCTTGCAGATTTCCTACTAAAGGCATAAAAACCTTAACCAGAAGATAGGAACAACATAATTCGATCATTTTTAAAGCAAAAAATGCACAATTTACAAACATATAAGTATAAAGAAGCCGAGTAACAGAGTGTATATATATACTTTTGGTTCAGCCAATTGCAACCAAAATAAGAGGTGCACATTTACATGTTATAGCAGTTGTGTATACAAAATTTCACTGTTCTGATGCTACTCGTTTTTGAGTTATGCGAGATACATACGTAATCACAGTACGTATTCTCTTCAGATGTAATTCTCTTCAGTACGTATTCTCTTCAGAATTCATTTCAAATTAGTTTTATAATTTTTTTTGGGGGGGGAAGAGTTCTTTATTCTGTCCTTACGTACAAATGTCACGCAAAAATATCGTTAAATTGCATTTGATAGCGATAAAAATGGATATTTGCATTGAAATATGATGCTTGAAACATTTCGCAGTTGCAATACTTCCTTTTTACTTTGTACAAGGAAGGAAAAAGAGAGAGAGATGAAGAAGATAAGCATTTAAAATTTATGATTTTATCAGCGAAAATTTTGTAAACAAGATTGTAAGCAAAAAAACTGGAGTGTCACCAACTGTCGGTGACTAATTTTTTGCCAAGCTAAGTCACCAAAGACAAGAGCCATTTTCAAAAATAGTGACACCCAAAGAATTTCATAAATCAGCAGCCAATAAGCAAAATTAAAACCATTCATAATACAGTCAAAAGTCGTTAATTCGGACACCCGTAATTCGGAATGATCTATAACCGGACCTCAAAACTAACAACTTTCTGGCATGCGCCGCGTTGACATATGCGCATACACCTCTGTAAGGAACTTTATTATAATACCCTCTTATTTCTTCCTTGTACAAAGGAAATGAAGTACTGTAATGACGAAAAATTCAGGGTATCATATTTCAATGAGAATAAAGGTCATTTCCCCTTAAGCGGATTATAAAATTGATTTAAAATGGATTCAGAAGAGATTTTTTCATGATGTATGTATGTACGTATTTCGCATAACTAAAAAGCGAGTAGCCTCAGAGCATTGAAATTTTGTTTGCAGGATTGCTATAACATGTAGATGTGCACCTTGTATTTTGGTTGCAATCAGCTGGGATTTAAGATCATACAACATTTGATATACTAAATAGCAGCTATTAGCGCTATTTATCTCTTACCTAATGTACCCACTTTATATATTATCTCCATTCTTTTTTAAGTTTTAAAGTTCTTATACAAAAACTTTACTGTATTGAAGGTTAGCAGCCTCCTTACTTTTATATCTTGCTAGTTTATCTCATATTGAAATCATTAAAGGTCATTCCACTAGATGACAAACTTGAAAATTTAACGCCATGCCTGCTACAGGTAAACCCAAAAAACAATTTCTATGAAAAACATTTAACTGTATTTACATGATTACATGCGGTACTTGACATATTAAATATATAGGACAGACTAAAAACAATCTTAACTTTCGAATAAATAACCATAGAGCTCAAATCAAAAAATTCAACGCACAAAAAAATAGCATTAAAATAAGTACCCATCACAACTCAATACAGCAGAATTAGAACACTTTAAACACCATGACTTCAACTCTATTCAACTTCAGATACTAGATATAATACCCAATCACAAAACACGAATTTTTCAGAAATCTCTCTACCGCTCTGTTACTTGGCTCAGTTTCTTTATTCTTACATGTTTGTAAATTGTACATTTTTTGTTTTAAAAGTTGATTGAATTATGTTGTTTTTATCTTCTGGTTAAGGTTTTTATTCCTTTAGTTAATCTGCATGCAGTAGTTGTAGAATTATCTGCAATTTAAAAGTTGTTTAAGTGCAGCTAAGCCTTTTTTATTTATTTATTTTTACCATAACAGCCATATTTGTTTACATTTGAAATTTGAGCAGAATAGTGGATTAAGTCAGTTTATGCACCTTCATTGTCTTTTTGCCGAATGGGACCAAAAAGTAAACCTTTTTACTGGCTCTGGGTTTCGTACAACGCAGTTTCACACAACACGTCATTTTCTAGGAACCTATCTACTGTGTTATAGGAGGGTTACCTGTAATTCAATATACTGTATAAGGATGTCGTGGGGTCTCTATCAGATTTTTTTTATAAATAACAGTGTTGGTTGTTTTTTTAATCTTCATTGTAAAATCCTTGTTTCAGTCATATATTGTTGAATAAATGATGAAGTGTGTTTATGATTATATACAGCTGATTTTGATTTAAAAAAAAATAGACGTGATCTTGAATTATTTGGACTCGGAATTATTTCAGTAACTTTATAGTGCCTATAAATAATGCCAGATTAAAAATGCTGGTTTTACACAGTTATTAGAGTATGTTTCCTGTGAGAGCATGACAAGAAATTCTTCTGAGGAATGTTAGCATAAGCATATGTTTCGCATGATATATTTTGCAAATGTGGTGAACATTTTATGATTCTATATGGAATGGTATTTATATTAATGTGTTAATAGTATGTAACATGAATTAGAAGAAAATTTAAAATAAAAAGTTTAAATATTTTAAAACAATTTAACAAAAAATTCCTCCCTTCTTTTGAAGTTGTTTTTTTGTTTGTTTGTTTAAAAGTTTCTTGTGAAAATTTTATATTTTTTCGAATGATTTGAAGAGTGGAGGGTAACAGTACAAGCATTCTTATTAGATGAAACTTAATTCCAAAACAGGGCTTAGCTCAGCTTCTTTAAAAATCTTTTATCTTTATACTTAATTATTTTTCATTCTTACGTAATTTTTACGTTTGTGAATAACTCAAAATATCCAAATCTCACTTTTGAAAATCTGATGAAGTAGAACAAGCAATAAATTGGTCTTAAAACTAAGAAAGGAGAAAGAAATATTTAGTTATGTAACTGGAAAAAGATTTTTCTCTTTCTACTTTTTTCTTCCTTTGGCATTTGATTCTCATTGCCCCATATAGATAAATAAAATTTTATTGCAAAAAATAGATATTTAGTATTAATTATTTTTTAAGAGATGGTAAACTCTTTAAGTATTGAAATTCATTCATTACCAAGTGATTATCAGTATTAACTTGAGCAGTTTGTTCAATATTATATATAATATTTGAATATGTTAGCAATGTACAAAGCTACTTTTTTAACAGTAGCTTTGTACATTGCTACTTTTTTTAATAAGCTATTTTTTTAATAAAACAAATAGAGTTTGTTAATATATTCAGTACCAAATATATGGTATTAAAACTTTTTTTTTTTTTTTTTTTTTTAAATTTATAGCCTCAACCTCAACGAGCGGGTTATCCTTCTGGTCCTATGCAAGGTGCACCTGCTCCACCACCACAAGGCATGCATGGTCGTGTTGGGCAGGGAATGGGCCCACCAGCTAATACATATGCTGCAGGAGGGCGTACTCCTCAAGGACCAATGCCTTCAATGGGTATGGAATCACGTAAAAGACCTGCACCAGATCGCTCAGACAGTAGATCTCAAGGACCTCCATCATCTAAAAGGTAAAATTGCTATGAGCAAAACATATATGAAAATTAGTTTGCTTTATGTGTTTAAAGATTCAGGGCATAAATATCCATCTGTTGTTAAAAATTCTACAGAGAGGCTGAGATCCATATAATGAAATTAAAAGTAAAAACTTTGACTGGATACAAGAAAATCAATTTTTTGTTCAAAGGCATTGGGGTAAAGGTATAATTAATTCAGTTCATATTTTATCTGAAATATGCTTCTTTATTAAATACATATTTGTATAAATTTATCAGTAATTACATCCATTAATGTAGTAAGCTATTGTAATTAAGTAATGAGTGGAAAGTATTGACATGATATATATATCATGTTGCAGGAATTATTTGTTAACAGTATTGGGAGGGGGGAATTATGCAGGTTTTTTTTTTTTTTTTTTCCCTGTTAATAGGGCAGCACTTAATGTCAACAGTCCAGAATAATTTCTTTTAAAATATGTAAAAGTGCAAAATAGGTTTTATTAGATTAATTTCAGATTACACAGGAGGCATAAAAATGGCAATTTCATTTCACATTGCCGTTTGCGCTTCTCATGCAATTAATGTCACATGTACTTCATTAGGTAGCAGTCTGCATGGCTGTGGGAAATGCTTTGAGTATTTCACCATTTGTTTTCGGAAGTTTTATTTGTGTATTCACGATTCACTTCATTCAATTGTGTATCACCATTTACTGCATCACAACTTTACAGTAGTTTCATTCTTTTCCTTCAAAATAAAGCCAACACTGAACAAAAAGAAACTGAAAAACCTAAGATTAAAACTTACTGCATTGATGTTTATTCTTCTAGCATTCACAATGATATCATTATATAGTTAACTCGTCACAAATACACACACACACATATAGAGATAGATAGAGTACCACATTAGATGCTTTCTTACATAATTCCGACTGGAACCCATTAACAGAAAAAGGGAGGGGGAGTTGCAAAGCTGGGCCAAGTTTCCTTGTAATATCCAAAACTCTTCATTTTATTTATTTATTTATTTTAATTTAGATTACCTCCTTAAATATAATTATGGTAGAACTTTATACTTTCTGATTATTTGCACATTTGTGAAGTATCCAACTTGCTTAACTTTATTTATAAAGAGTAATGAAAAAAGCATAAGAAACAAGAAATTTTTTGAGGAAAATCAAAGATCTATATGGCTGATATTTCTATCGTAACAGTCAATGTATACTTTCAGCAAAATTAGAGTTAACTATAAAATGTGTGAATATGTGTGTACTCAAGCACCTGTGTAGCACATGCATGAGTGGGTTAGCTGTTGTCACATGTAATATTAAAAAATATGCCCATAACATGGCAATTCTTCTTACTATTAAAAATTGAGGATGCAGATAGATAATCAGAAAGTATCTAAAATTTATCTGACAATTTTTAAAAAAGGGCTAAGACACTCATATCCTAGTGAAAACTATATATAAAAATTCTAATTTTGTGTTGGGGGGATTTTCAGTGTATGTAGCATATATATATTTTGATTCAGTGATTTTTTGTTATTAATTTTTCATGCATTATATTGATTTGTAGGTTTTTCTTCTTTTCTTGGACGTGTGTCAAAACAATATTTAAGTTTATTATTCTGAATTTTAATTTAGTGTATTTTATATAAAAATCATGTTGCAACTAAGATAGTAATGCATTATAAAATGACTTGTGATCAGTTTTCTCTATTAATATTACAAAATATTAAACTCTATCAGTATTACAAAAAGTATAAAATCCTTTTTCCCTGCCTGTAAATCATGTTTGTCACTTTGAAATCATCTTGAAATTGCACTACTATGCTATACAAAATCATTCTGCTTTGTCATATTTTGGGGTAGGTGTCTGTGGCGTTATTATTTTTCACAGTGGTATTCAGTCTCAGATTTCATGCAGGTTGAATGCACAATCTGAAAACAGCTGACAGGCAGGTTTTTTTTTTTTTCTTTTCTCTCTCTCTCTCTTCCCCCCCCCCAAATAAAATGAAAAATTTCATTAACAGAACATTTTAAAGTAAATATTATTTTTTGTTTACTACATGTACATCAAACCATGCGTAAACAATAATAATAATACTATAAAAGGAAAAAATTCAAATTTATAATTGTTTTCTCTCTCAAATGTAAAGTTTGGTACTTGTAAGACATTTTTGTTGATTACACTTTCTTATTCAAAAATATTGACAGTAAAATGTTAGATTCTTTGACTGATATTTCTTGTAAATAATTCATTCTTTGACTGATATTTCTTGTAAATAATTCTAACGTTGTAGGGTTCCTCACTCTTTTTGTCTAAAGTAAACATCAAGGAACCTAGTGAACTATTTAGCAGCTTAATCGCTGAGTTCAAATAACTAAAGCGCAGACTTCAAGAAGGGTTAAAATACCCTTTATTTCACTCAAAATGAGATGAACAGTTGGCCTCTTTCTTAGGTTTAAACTCAGAATAAGAAATAAGATCTAAATTATAACTAACTAAAGGAGACTTAGCTGAAACTAACATGAGTATCTAATGTAGTTGGCCATGAATTTAAACTATCTCACGAATATCAAAAGGCACATAGTAATAGGGACGAGTGTAACAGCTTCAATAGAGATTTAGCCCAAAGGCAAACACATGCTACTCAGAATTTCTAGCTCTCTCTCTCTCTCTCTCTCATTTGCATTCAGTGTGATTCTAAAAACTCATTCTGATATGTACTGTCTAACCACACTAGCGAGAGCAGTTTGGCTGAGAGTCAAGGTGCGTCAGTTTAAATGAAGGATGGTGTGTGAAAAGCATGGGTATTTTTCCCTCTTGGAGGTCGTAGCAGTTGTAACAGCTTTAATATCGTTATTAATCCCTCGTGCATTTGAAATAGATGAGTAATAATGTACAGGTTACTGTCAATATTGAAATACAGGCTCGAGAGTCACATGCATTTTCTCGCACGAAGCATGTAATTATTTTTTTTTAAAGTAAGTTTTTATACCTTTTCTTCTCTTGCTTGTATGTCACCATTTTTTTAGTGTAAAATAAAAGTTATTGCTGTGTTCCATCATTGGAGTTTACTTCATATTGTTTAAGAAGTATCGCAGGGTGTGAGTGAAAAACGGGAGTATTTTTTCCTCTCGAGGTCGGGTGTCATTTAGTGCTTTTTCTTACAATCATTGAGCATCGCTGTTACTGACCTTCTTTTACTTTCAAATCTTCATTTTTATGATGAGTTCTAATGTTTCAGAAAGCTCTAGAAATAAACCTTTCCTCGGCGATTTTAAGAGATTAGTGTTATGACGTGATTAAAATTTATGATGAAGAATCACAATTAGGAAGACTGGTTAGGTTATGTTATGTAATTATGGCAAAGCCTCGAGGGCTATCTGTCTAAGGGGAGAGATGCCTTCGTGAGGACTTTCTAAGGGAAACTGGCTCGTATACACATTACACATGGGAAAAAGCATGAAAACACCCATGGATTCAAACCTCGGACTGAACTACCAGTGTTCTGCGACTTTACTGCTCGGCCACTGGTGAGCAATTAGGAAGACTGACCATCCCAATTACGCAGCCAAAAATGTAAAGGTGGAAAAAGGTATGGCATGTATAATTAAAACTAAAATTATTTTTATGCAACCTCTTCTCATTAAATTGTTTTATTTTGTTTATAGATAATTTGATTATATTAATAAATGTAATTTATTAAGGAATATTTAACAGATAAAAGTTTTTTAGTCAGTGTTTGAAAATATTAAAATTAACTAAGATGCATATATAAATTATTATTAATTTAATTGTTATCTATTAATATTAAATTATATTAAATATTATCTTTTAAAATATTTATAAACTGATGATGAATTGTATAAGACAAATAGTTTACTATTACAGTTCTTTTAATGATTTTTTCTTTGAAATGTCACAATCTGATGTTTGATTTTAATTTAATTCTATAATTTTAAAATTTCATCGTGTATCAGCTTAAAATGTATAACGCGCAGACAAAAATTTCTGTTGTGCAGCACTCGGAAAGAAAGAGCGTGAAATGGAAGAACCATTTAAGTCTAACTGGGCTGCTGCACTCATCCCTAGATCACTGATAGATATGCCCACTTCTGCCCCAAATCGGATGTTTACATAAATCTGGAATACATGTGAGACTTTAAGTGGAAACAAGAATCGATAGGAAAGCACTTTGAAATTAAGATACTGTTATAAAATTAGAATGTACCTTACAACATGCTTATTTAATCATTAAATAAATTACTTCAATTAAAAATATGTATAAATAAATTATAAAAACTTTAAGCTTTCTGAGAAAATTTACTAAGTGGGATAAAAATTAAGAATAAATAATGACAACTGAATCTGTTTCTTTTATTTATTAAATTTTTCATTGATGCATAAGTAAAAACACTTATGTTTGTAATTTAAATGATCATAAATTTCTTATACTTGATAGCATTTCGATTCTGATAACGCTTGTAACTTTCGAGAGAAATTTCTAGAAATTATCATGGATTCTAGATTCTCATTGATCATCAGGTTTTTTTCGTATTAATTTTCACCTGTGAAAGAAATAATATTCTTACATAAATACTACACAAATATATTTATTCCCAAATGAGACTTATTAGTGTAAAAATTTGAAACTGATTTATTTGCTGATGAGTATGAAAGAAAATTAATAAACTCTGTATCTTCAAATCTTTGAATAAAATTTATGTCACACTGTAAATTAATTAGCTGCATTTATAGATTTTCTGGTGCGTTATTCATGTTCATTTTTAGTGGAAATAAACATAATACAAACTTGGACTTCCAATAACTTTATATATTAGGTTGCAAATATGGTTCCAAACACCATATTTGCAACAAATTTGATACAAAAATGTCTTCACAAGCTGCCAGTATGAGACAACTGGTTTATACTATATAAATTTAGTATTCTGGGAAAGTAAAAATTATTGCCACTTCACTTGCAATAAATTCTTGTTAAAA